ACACCTGGCTTCACCCCGCACACAGCACCCTCGCCGCCGCACACCCATCTCCACCCCCGCGCGGGAGAGGCTTGGCGGCCCGGCTTTTTCGAGCCGCCGCAGCTCGTCCCTGGAGAGGCCATCCCTGGGACAGTGGGGGGTGTGGGGCTGGGGGAATACCAAGATTCTGGAGCCCCACCAGCCACCTGGAGAGGCCTAGATTTGGGGGGTGCCAGCGAAAGAAGCAAGGGATGCTTCAGCCCGGCTTTAGGACCCGGGGGCTCCGGAAAAAAGACTCTGAACTTTTTTTTAAATGGGAGTCAGCTCCGACTTCTCGGCTTTCCCGAACCTCCCTCCCTGGCCGGGCCCCTGGACGCCGAGCCCCGGGGGAGCGGGAGGGGGGGAAGCTGCAGTTCTTTGTGGTGCATTCCTGTGACTCCAACGCTCAGCCTCGCCCCCTCCTCCTATCCCACCCTCCGTCTCCCGCCCCCCGCCCCGCGCCAGCTCCGTCTCCCCTTCCCCCATTCCACGTGGACCCGCCAGGGCGGGGGTGGGGACGGAGGACAGGAAGGGGGGGAGCCTGCTCCGGGAGGAGGGGGGAAGAAGGTTGGCGGCGGCGACTCCCTCGCTTGTCCTCACTGCCGGCGGTCCCAGCTCCAGGCACCATGTTCCGCGCGGTGTCCCCGAGCCACACCTTCCTCGGGCTCCCCCTGCTGCAGTTGCTGCTGCTGCTGGTGCAGGCCGTGGGGAGGGGGCTGGGCCGTGCCAGTCCGGCCGGGGGCCCCCTGGAAGATGTAGTCATCGAGAGGTACCACATCCCCAGGGTCTGTCCCCGGGAAGTGCAGATGGGGGATTTTGTGCGCTACCACTACAACGGAACTTTCGAGGATGGCAAGAAGTTTGACTCGAGGTAATGGGTTGGGTGCCCCCAGACTCGCCACTCCCCTTGGGGCCGGGCTCTCTTAATCCTGGGGATCCCTTGTAGCCGCTTAGGCTGTGTCTGTATCCCCTACTCCATGGTCTTCTAACCCCTAACACAGCACCTTGGGGATGGGGACTCCCAGACATCCATCTTCCCAAAGACATCCTTGCCCTGGATTTCAAACCCTCACCTCTCAAAGGACCCCAGTTTCTTTTACAGCAAGCTCCCCATTTTCCCCTAAGTGTTTGATGATCAAGGTGAACTGCTCTGTTTACTTACGGGTGCTTTACTTAAAGTCCTGGCAGGGAGGAGGTTCTGGTCCCCAGTGTTGGGGGGAAGGGCATGGCCCCTGCTGCATGTGAATCCTCCAGGGGTCTCAGTCTGGGACCCCCACCCTTTCTACGCAGCCTGAATCCCTTCTGGTTCCAGCCCCAGGGTCTAGTGCCTTTGTAACCAGAGAACAGGCAGTCGAACCTTTTTGGAGGCGGTGGGGATTAGGAGAAGCTAGCATAGTAAAGCCAAGGGAGCATTGTAATAAGACAGCAGGATGGATCCAGGAGTGTAGGGCATAGCTCTGTGTGGGGATCCTATCTGTCTACGTGTCATTTGGCCGGGCATTGACCCCCTGGGCTCCTCGGAGGGTTCTCTTACCTCTCTCTCCGGGTCTCCCTGCACCCCCACCTTCCTCCATCTTAGCTCTACCAGGCCAGGGCTGTCGCCCATCTTGCCAGCCTTGGGGTTTGAGAGATGGGTTTCTGGTCTGATCAGGCCTTTGGTCTGCTCTGGCAAGTCACTTTTGTTGGTGGAGGCAGGGCAGGACTGCATAGCAACCTGGTTCAACCTCAGGTCCCAGGCACGTACCACAGCCCAAGAAGCCAGTCCCTCTTAGACCCCTTCCCAAAACACACAACTCAGCCCACGGGAAGTTAGTGGCCTTGGCTTTGGAAGGCAGGCAGTATGTTGGGTAAGAACATGAACTCCAGAGTCCAAGACACTGGATTCCAATCCAGCCTGTGACCATGGACAAGGAATTTTGCCACTTTAAGCTTCATGTTCCTAATCTGAAAAATGGAGGTTAAAAACAATCTGGAAAATTAAGTCCTCCCTTCCTAAGGCTGATAACAGGGCTCAAGTAAGATGATGAATGAAAGCGAACTTCGCGCAGTGCCTGCCAATCCGAAAGCCAGTTGAGGGCCTATTAGCCTTGACTGTGGGGAGGACTGGGTGCTCTGTGTTGTTTTTTTTTTTTAAGATTTTATTTATTTGTTTGACAGAGAGAGAGAGAGAGAGCAAGAGAGGGAACACAAGCAGGGGGAGAGGGAGAGGGAGAAGAAGGCTTCCCGCCAAGCAGGGAGCCCGATGAGGGGCTCGATCCCAGGACCCCAGGATCATGACCTGAGCTGAAGGCAGATGCTTAACGACTGAGCCACCCAGCCGCCCCTGGGTGCTCTGTTTTTAACTGGTAGAAATTTTGTGCAGGCTTCGGCCCTCAACAGCACTGTAAAGGAAGCAGCTCAGTGGGCAGAATGAGGTATGGCCTGTGGCCAGGAGTACAGCCCAAGTCAGGGAGGGCTGGGGAGCAGGGGATGACTTCCTTGGTGGGACTCTGGAAGCCTAGCTGGCCCCAGTTCATGCAGTGCTGAGCTTGGAAAACTTTCCTAACCCATGGTTCTTAACCCCTTTGATCAAAATAAAAATCTCGGGGCACCTGGCTGGCTCAGTTGGAAGAGCATACAACTCTTGATCTTGGGGTCATGAGTTCGAACCCCACATTGGAGGTAGAGATTACTCAAAAAAAATAAATAAACTTAAAAAAAAAAAAGTGATTTAAAAATTTTTTTTAAATAAAAATCTCCAGGGTCGCCTGGGTGGTTCAGTCGGTTAAGTGCCTGCCTTCAGCTCAGGTCATGATCCCAGGGTCCTGGGATCGAGCTCAGTGAGGATCCTGCTTCTTCTCCCTCTGCCTGCCACTCAGCTTGCTTGTGCTCTCTCTCTCTGTCAAATAAATAAGTGGAATCTTAAAAATAAATAAGTAAAAAAATAAAATAAAAATCTCCCATCCTCCCTTAACTTCTGAAAACTGTAAGTAAAAGCAAATAAAAGTCAAGAGGTACAAACTTCCAATTATAAAATAAATCAATCACGGGAAAGCATGGGGAGCACAGATGACAGTATTGAATTAACTTTGTGTGGTGACAGATGCTGACTAGATTTATTATTCCGATCTTCTCGTTATGTATGTGAATGTCGAATCACGAGGTTGTACACCTGAAACTAATATCATCTTGTACGTCAATTATACTTCAATAAAAAAAATAAAAGTAAAAAAACAAATAAAGGCCACGGCAATTTTAAAACAGGGCTTTCCAAAATTGGAAACCAATCCCTATTCTCAGGGAGCCCTGCTACCCCCTCCTTTCCTGGGAAATTGATGGTGTGGTGGCCCAAACACAGAGGTCAGTTGACCACGTGTTAGCCGTGTGACCTTGGGCAAGTCAGCTAGTCTCTTGTCCCAATCGTTGTCATGAGCAAAAGGAAAACGCTAACGCCCACTTCACAGAACGCAGTAAGGTGGCGCATGTACAAGGCCGAGGATTTCATCTGGCCCATCGTACAAGCTCAGTGGTCCTCGGCCCCTTGGTGCCATACTTCGCCCTCCGCAGCTGCTCGCAGATCTTAGTAGCACAGAGCCCTGGGCAGACCCCCGCCCCCCTGCACTCCCCCACCCCGGTCCCAGGCAAATAAAAGCCCCTGGCCTCCCTCGGGGGCTTCCCTGTGTAACAGCCCCTCCTCTTGAGTGGGGAGGGAGGCTTGAAGAGGAGACAGGAGCATGTAGATGCACACCTGTGTAGCGGGAGGGGGACTGAGTGTGTGCGTGCCCCTGCGTGTGTATGTGGCCCCCAGAGGCCCCCGTGGCCCATCTGTTTCCTCCCTCCCGCAGCTATGACCGAAGCACCTTAGTGGCCATCGTGGTGGGCGTGGGGCGCCTCATCACTGGCATGGACCGGGGCCTCATGGGCATGTGTGTCAACGAGCGGCGACGCCTCATCGTGCCCCCCCACCTGGGCTATGGCAGCATCGGTGTGGGTGAGAAGGGGTGGGGCCCAGGCGTGGGGATGGAGGAGACCAGGAAGCAGAATCAAGGGCCCCAGGTCCAAAAACCTGAAGCTCAGAGTGGGAGAGTGACTTGCCCAAGGTCACACTGCACATGCAGCGTGAGTCGGGGCAGGTCTGGGACTAGAGTTTCAGTCTCCTGCCCCTGGAGTGGGAGGAAAGGAAATGACAGGGCCCTGGGTAGAATCAAAGCTTGACTGGGGAGAAGGGGACCTAGGGGCGGTGGAGCGGGTGGCCGAGCGGGACGTTCAAATGTCCATTCAACCCGCCACGCTGGGACTGTGGCAAACACGGCACCAGCTTTGATACCAGGTAAGGCTAGAGGGAGTCCCGGGGCCCCGGGGACTGTGGCGCACTGAGGGGTCCTGGAGGCTGCACCAAACATGAGCTGGGGCTGCCGGACTCTCACAGCGGGGCTCATTCCCCCGGATGCCACCCTCTACTTCGATGTGGTCCTGCTGGATGTGTGGAACAAGGCAGACACCGTGCAGGTGAGCACCTTGCTGCACCCAGCCCACTGCCCCCGCACGGTCCAGGACAGCGACTTTGTCCGCTACCACTACAACGGCACATTGCTGGATGGCACCGCCTTTGACACCAGGTAAGGGCTGGAGGGAGTCCTGGGGCCCTGGGGACCGTGGTATGATGGGGAGGGTGTCCGGGGCCCTTCCTGCCTCTCTCATCTCCACAACATCACCTCTGCCTCATTCTCTGCAGCTACAGTAGGGGTGGCACTTATGACACCTACGTCGGCTCGGGCTGGCTGATCAAGGGCATGGATCAGGGGCTGCTGGGCATGTGTCCTGGAGAGAGGAGGAAGATCATCATCCCGCCATTCCTGGCCTATGGCGAGAAAGGCTATGGTGAGGGCAGACAGGGACTCGGAGATTCCCCAGAAGAGGGCTGCCACATACAGTTGTTCAGGTTGTGTACTGCACAAGGGCACTCAGCCAAGGAGGCAAATCAGAGATGAACTCTATCTTGGTGATGATCTCACTAAGAAAGGGTGCTTTATTCTGATTCACACACGCATTTGGTATGGGCTGGTGATGGCCTTGGGGAAGATCCAGCTCACACCTCACAGGGGGGGCAAGAAACAGGGCTGCTGAGGGTAGGGAAGGGTCTCTGGAGAGCAGAATTAGCACCTTTTTGCAGGGTGCTCACATGGGCCTTCCTGAGTGGAGGAGGAGCCCTGCTTTGCTCTCCACTTGTATGGTTCAAGCCTATCCCTTCCCCAGGGACTGTGATCCCCCCGCAGGCCTCCCTGGTCTTCCACGTGCTGCTGATTGACGTCCATAACCCCAAGGACACCGTCCAGCTGGAGACGCTGGAGCTACCTCCTGGCTGCATCCGGAGAGCTGTGGCTGGAGACTTCATGCGTTACCACTACAACGGCTCGCTGATGGACGGCACCCTCTTTGACTCCAGGTCCGGGGGACTCCTGAGGAGGGAAGGTGGGGGCTGGGAGGAAGGTGGAAGAGGCTGAGGCAGGATCTGGGGTGGCCCCCCAGCAGCAACCGGGGGCGGTTGGCTCTGAGCTGCCGGGAAGGGCCAGGGACCCCTTTGACCCCTTGCTGGCCCTCCCTGCCTTGTCTTACAGCTACTCCCGCAACCACACCTACAACACCTATGTGGGGCAGGGTTACATCATCCCCGGGATGGACCAGGGGCTGCAGGGCGCCTGCATGGGGGAGCGCCGGAGGATCACCATCCCCCCGCACCTGGCCTACGGGGAGAACGGGACTGGTAGGTGTGTCCCCTTGCTCCCACTCACCTCCTCAGCTCCTCTGCACACTGTTCACTGACCTCCCCGCCGCAGGGCCATCCCAGCACCTGCTCTGCCCCTCTCATCACAAAAACCATCACCCACCCACCTCCTGCCACACAGACTCTGTCCTTGCCTCCAGGGGCAGCCCCCCCCAACTTCTCCCTTCCATACTGGAGAAGGGCAACCGACTCCTGAGTTTGGGGAAGGGGGGTGGTCATGGAAGAACAGAAACAGCATAGCTCTAGGAAGCAAAGAGACCTGGACTTGAGCCCCAGCTTTGCTGGAAGCCTCAGTGTCCTCACCTGTAAAATGGGACTAATCCCATTGACCAGCAGGGTAAGTTGCTGGGAGGTTGCAAGATGATGTGTATAAAGGGCTTTCTAACTGGCCTGGCCCTTCCCTCCCCTGCCCCTCACCGCCCCCCCCCCCCCAACCGCAAGAGGGTATTAGAAGAACTGACCCTGGGGACAAATACCCTCTCCCATCCTGGTTTGAAAACTAGGAGCCTCTATGGAGGCCTGAGTAGCCCCTCCTGGATTCCAAGCCGATCCACTCCCCGTTCTGGCCCCAGGAGACAAGATCCCTGGCTCCGCTGTGCTGATCTTCGACGTCCACGTCATTGACTTCCACAACCCTGGGGACCCGGTGGAAATCAAGATTCTGTCCCCGCCCCCGGAGACCTGCAATGAGACGGCCAAACCCGGGGACTTCGTTCGCTACCATTACAACTGCTCCCTGCTGGATGGCACCAAGCTCTTCTCCTCGTGGGTCCGGGGCTGGGCCGGGGCTGGGCAGGTGGGTGGGCCCAGGTGCGGGGAGTCCTCCTGAGAGCCCCCCGACGGGTGCTTCGTCCATAAGTTCCCATCCAGCGAGCGTGGGGGAGCACGAGGAGCTGAGGTTCTTGACTTGCGGGCACAGGGAAGGTGAAGCCAGTGTCTTGGGGAACTGCGGGCTCCGCTTGTGGAGGGGACACCAAAGCAGGGGCAGTGGCACCATGAGGAGGGCGTGCTGTCTCTGAACTGTTGGGCCCGGCCCTCGGCTGTGTGGGGCGGGCCCCAGGAGGAGTGACTGGGAAACTGGGCCTGGGGGGGGGCGGGGGGCGGGGGGTGGACGATGGGATGCCAGCTGGCCTGGGACAAGGATGGGCGCTGACCTGGGAATCTGCTCTCCCCCGACCCCGCCCCCAGCCACGACTATGGCGACCCCCAGGAGGCTACTCTGGGGGCCAACAAGGTGATCGAAGGCCTGGACAAGGGCCTGCAGGGCATGTGCGTGGGAGAGAGGCGGCAGCTCGTGGTGCCCCCGCACCTGGCCCACGGAGAGAGCGGAGGTGAGGGGCCGACTGGCCTTGGTGGCTGGCGAGAGGGGTGCAGGAAGCCTTCCCAAGGGTTCTGCAAACATCCCATGTGCCCAACATGGGAAACGGAGGCCTCTGGGCTGGGGAGCACCCAGGGCAGGCTGCGAGTCGGGCCAGACCTGGGCCCAATGGCAAGGCCTTCCTTCTCTTCTCCCTCCCCGCCTGCAGCCCGGGGTGTCCCTGGTAGTGCGGTGCTCCTGTTTGCGGTGGAGCTGGTGTCCCGGGAAGAGGGGCTGCCCACAGGCTACCTGTTTGTGTGGCACGAGGACCCTCCTGCCAACCTGTTTGAAGGCCTGGACCTCAACAAGGATGGCGAGGTCCCCCTGGAGGAGGTGGGTGAGGAGTTGGGTCCTAAGAACCGGTCCCCCACTGTCACCCCCAATAGGAGCCACCATGCGTGGTGGCATCGAGCAATGCAGTCCTTCTGCCGTTCCGTCTGCACCTCTTTCTGCCCCTGTGCTGGGTCCCTGTGCCTTAGGTCCCTTGTCCCTGCCTCTTCCTCATGCAGCCCACTCCCCCCTACCGCTGGCTGGCCGCCGCCTGGGGCCCTTCCCCAGGCCACCCACAGCTGCTCAGGTGAGACCCTCACTCCCCTCTCCCCTTGGCTCTCTTGGCTCCTAGTTCTCCACCTTCATCAAGGCTCAAGTCAGTGAAGGCAAAGGACGCCTCATGCCTGGGCAGGACCCGGAGAAAACCATAGCAGACATGTTCCAGAACCAGGACCGCAACCAGGATGGCAAGATCACTGTGGAGGAGCTCAAGCTGAAGTCAGACGAAGACCAAGAGCGGGTCCACGAGGAGCTCTGAAGGCCAGGGGCCCGGGCCCGAATGCAAAGGCCCAATTCTGGGAGGACAGTGGGCAGTGGGGCTGACCTTCCAAGAGTCACCCTCCCCTGTGCTGGCAGGATGTCGAGAAACATCTAGAACTTGGTCAGAGGAGACAACTCTGGTCATCCCACCAGCCCCCAAGTAAAATCCACAGCACAGACCTCTATTCAGTTTTTCTCTTCTGACCCCAAACCCCTCCTTTACAAGTTTTGGAGTCACAAAGCCAAGCCGGCCATTGGCCGAGCCTTGGGGATGAACGGGGCCCTTGCTGGTGCTTCACCCACACCTCCCCTCCACATCACCAGACACTGAACAAGGCCAAGCTTGTCCTTTATTTCCCCAAACTTCCCTTCTGTCCATGCTTTTCCTTGTCGTCCCCCTCCCCCCCCAGCTCCAGTCCCTATTCCTGTGTCGTGGCAGCTCCCCAGGAGCGTGAACCAAAACTGACTGGATGCTCAGCCTTCCTCTCCGCTCTGGCTGGCTTCTGTCCCGCCCCCCTCCCCTGTGTCCCCACACCTATGCTGTCCACCCCTCACTCCGGCCAATAGTGGCTAAAGTGACCCTGGGGTGCCACATTTAGGGCTGGGCTTGGCGTTGCCTTTCATCCCTAAAGAAGGCTGCTTTCTCTAAGGGACAGAGAAGAGGAAGAATGTCAAGGGGGCAGGGGTGAGGATAACTACTTGGGTGGGTCTTGGGGCTACGAAATTCTTGGTTCTGGGCTGAGATAAACTTGGAAGAAGGGCTCGCGGAGGGCAGGGAGGGGGGCAGAGCTCCACACACTCAAAAGGCTAAATTGGTGTCAGATCCCTTTCTCCTTTGTACCAAATAAAAGACTAAACCAAAGGCCTCAGGATGTGCTCTTCCGGGGACAGGGGGAGGCCCTTAGACCCAAGGACTGGGGAAGAAAGGGAAACAAAGCAGGCGCTCAAGATACTGTGTCCCTCCCTAGGTCTCTGCCTCTGCCCCCTGAGGCCTAATCAGGGCCCTCCCCATGGAAAGGGAGCCCCTATCTGCTGGAGGGAGGGTGGGGAGTGGGCGTCTACAGAGGGGCCTGCGGGGAGGTGTGGAGAGATGATCCCTGTCTCCTAACTATCCCAACTGAATGGAAAGATGAGGTCCCTGACCTCAAACATGACATCAGAAACTCAAGGATTAAATTAAGCTGCACAGGTCGGATTCCTCTCTTCCATGTAGACTTGTTCCAATGCTAGGCCATCCCCACCTCTCCCTGCTCCTGGCTGCCAGCCATTACCTCCTGCCGGGTCCTCCCTCCTGTCTGAAGGAAAGGTAACAGGGCTCCAATCTCCGGGGTCTTGAGGGAGGAGTTGCTTCAGCCAGCACCCGCCCGGCCGGGACTCTGGCCAGGACAACAAAGATGACCTAAGCCAGGAGAGGACAGGAGAGCAGGGGAGTCTTGGGAGAGAGACTGATGGTCCTGGACTCCCCGAACTGATCCATCCCCCACGAGCACCTGCTTCTTGCCCAGGATCCCGAGACACGGCTTTTCCCCACGGCCAATCACGGACACTCCTGGCCCCAAAGCATCCCGAAGGCACCTCAGGGTCTGACAGTGTCTGTGGACCAGCCTCAGATGGTCACCACCTGCCCCCCAGAAGCGAACAGCCAGCTCAGGACCAAAGCCCACGAGCAGGGGTGGAGGCGCGAAGCAGAAGAAAGGCGATGGCATCCGTCAGAAACACTGAAATCTGGCGCTAGCTCCTAGCTATGGAGTGGGAGCAAGTTTCTGGTCTTTTCCGAGCCACCTATAGATGGGAACTACACCTACCTTCAGGGCCCTAGTGAAGAAGGCACTGCCGTCCCCTTCAGAGCCGCAGGGAAACGCATGTGCCACAGCGGGGCACCCTCTGCGGGAGGATGAGGGGAGCGTTTCTCTGCGGACAGGCTACAAAATGCCAGGTGAAACTGGTGGGTTTCCATTTTTTCTTCAAAAGGTGCCCTAGAGAGAATTCAGCTAGTTCTTGACCATCCAAGTCGACAGGGGAGGGAGAAGGAAAGAAACTGAAGGAAGCCCAGTGAGGCAAGACGACAGAGCAGAAATCACTTCTACTTTACTGTGTCACTGAGTGCCTTCTCCCTTCAGGTCCTGGTCTTGACTCCCCTGAAGTCACCCATTTTCATGGCCCTGGGCCCACATAAGGAAGAGAAGACATGGCAGGAGCCAAGGGCACAAGAGAAAATCTGCAACCAAATGGATCCCTTTGGGGATCCATAAATAGGGAACTCTGCACACAGGGCTGGCCAGACCCAACTGACCCCAACTGAAGTTCAAGTTTAACGGCTACCTCAGCATCAAGTGAAACCATTCCAGGTCAGAAACGCACCTTCCAATCCCGCCTGCCCATCTCGGTCCCCAGACACATTTAGGACGTGCTCAGAGGGTCCTGTGAGTGAATTCGGTGTTTTGTTTTGTTTTGTTTTAAGATTTTATTTTCTAAGTAATCTCTACACCCAATGTGGGGCTCGAACTCATAAGCCAGAGATCAAGAATCAAACACCCCACTGACTGAGCCAGCCAACCCTGCACCCCCCAAATCAGAATAGCTGTTTTTTCCTTTTTTTATTTTGATCTGTTTAACACATTAGATTTGTTTGAAGACTAGCTTCCCGTGTTTAAAAACTGGGGGTGGGGGAAGAACCCCTGGACTAGCTGGTCCCTAGAGTGCTAACACTCTGTAGGTCCTGTGTTCACCTGGCTGGCCCTCCCATCCGGCAAGGGCCTCCCGCCAGCCTCCAGAGAACACCACAGAAGACGCTGGGAGAGGAGCAGGGAGAGGCTGGGCTCGGCAGGTGCACCCCCTGGGACTCCGCGCACACACAGGGAGCAGCAACGCTCCCCACAGGGTGGCCTCCTGGCGAAGCTCCCCCTTCCCCGCAGCCCACAGCGCCTGGCCCCCCGCCCACGCTCAGGAGCCCTGCGTCTCTCTCCAGTCCCTGCGGGGCAGGATGTGTTGCAGGACCCCGTTGACCACGTCCAGTGTCTCGTCCTTCTCCAGCACAATGTCGTAGGAGTCCATGTAGCGCTCCCGCCGCTCTTCCACCTGCCCAGGGAAGGGGGATAGAGTCCCCAAAACACCCTGACTTCTGCCTCTGCCTCTCAGGCACCCGGGGCAGGGGGAGGAGAACATTCGAGCTGCAGCTCCCCAAGAGCAGCTCCAGGTTACAGGGACCCGCCCTTTGGATGGCAACAGGCACAGGGTGCCACCATTAACCCTTGGGTCAATGGCAAAAGGGAAGGACGAGAATTAAAATTTAAAAACCAGATGTCACTTCTAATCCATCTGGACTGAATTTTCACAAGGCTCAAGCATTCTGGAGGTCTTCAGCACCTGCTGGCTGGGGCAGGGCGAGGGACTGGTAGCCTTCTAACTTGACCCCATGCTGTGTCCCTTTATGACTATGGTGTTTTCACCCGTTGGCCTCTGGTCTGTTCTTGTGTTTTCCTTCTCTGAATTGTAAACCCATCTCCTGAATACTGACATCTCCCACTTCAATCATGCCTTACAGGTATGATTGAGGAGGACTGTAATCAGCCCCACCACTTCCTACACTACGTACCATAGGTAGATGAACCTCCTTGCCTCGGTGTCCCCATCTGTAAATCAAGGCATAAGAGGCACCACCTCAAAAGGCTGCTGTAAGGACTAAACAGGTCAATAGGCCTGGCACGTGGTGAGCACCCAGAGGAAGTGTCCCTGAACTCTGCTGTGGTGCCGTGTGCCCAACACAGCCGTCATCACGGTGTCCCTAGGAGGATATAGCTTGTGGCTCACCTCTGTGCCCTGGACACTGACCGCGCCTGGCACATAGTGTTCGATAGGCATTCGTTAACAGGCAGCGAAACAAAAGAGCTCCACTAAGACGGGAAGCCCCGGTCCCACACCTACCTTGTCATTTAAGAAGCCAATCTTGAGAATGTTCTCCACACCAGGAACCCCATCAGCCATAGTGAGGTCCCCCATGGAGTCTCCCAGCAGGAGGATGTTGGTTTTGCCCTGAAGCTGCTGGAAGTACCCAGAGTTCTCACAAACGGAGCTGTTCTTGTTGTATGTGTGTATGAGCTGGCCCTTGAATCCCTGGAGGAAACCCTAAATAATCAAGAGACAGAAGGGCTGCAGGGACCATCCAGAGCCAGGGTCCACTGTCTCTGTCACAGAGGAAAGGGAATCCCGACAGCCAGAGACATGCCAACACCTCCTTGTAGTCTAAACTCGGGGCCGGCCAACTAGGTCCTGTAGCCAAATGTGGCCTATTTTTATAAATTCAGTTTGACCGGAACACAGCCAGCCTCGTCTGTCACATTGTGTTCACGGTTGCTTTTTTTCCACAGCACAGCTGAGTAGTTGTGACCGATCAGAGTCCATCCCACAACGTCTAAAATATGTACTACCTGGCCTTTTACAAAAAAGGCACGTAACCCCTGATTTAAACTCACAAGGACCCTCAGACATCACTGATCAGCTACTCTGGTGGGAGCATGAAGCCGTGACATGAGCACTGCTCAGACCACACGTGTGCTCACCCTCGGCGGCAGGCGCGACCTCACCCCAGGTGAACGGAGAAGTGGAGCCACTGGTGTGAGGGGAAGAAGTCAGAGTGTGGGTGAGTCGCAGCGGCCCACCTCTGGCTCCAGGAAGACAACTCCAAGTCTAAGCCCTGGAGTACCTAGGATGGCACATGACCTGGGATGGTGACACGGGGCCTGGGTGAACCCTAAATTAGGTACCCCAGGACACTGGGCTGTCAGTCAAACACCAAAGGGCGAGTCCTTCAGAGGTAACAGTCTCTAGCATGCATGAAGAAATAAATAACTGCCCGAGGGCAAGAAGCCAGCGCGCTTTCCCTCCCTTTCCTCCCCAAGTCAGACTTCAGGGTTTCGGGTGCTACCTGAGGGGCTGGTGGTCCCCACCCCTCATCCACTCCCACCCTAAAGGAGAGCTGGCTCACGTCTTCATCAAAGTCCATGTAGTTTGACACGATGTGGATGTTGGGGTGGAACACTTTCATCTGTCGGATAATCTCCTCCAGGATGTCACCAATGCCCGCGGAAAAGATGAAAAGGGGAATGTTGTTCTGGTAGAGGGTGTTGAAGAACGTCTTGTATCCCTCCCTGAAAAGAGATGGATGGATTCCACAATGGCACTGCCTCTGCTCCTGGTCTTTATTTTCTATTGGGGTGATGTATTTTTAAATTTTTTCTTTTTAAAGATTTATTTGGGGCACCCGGATGGCTCAGTGGGTTAAGTGTCTGCCTTTGGCTCAGGTCATGGTCCCAGGGTCCTGGGATCAAACCCCACATCAGGCTCCCTGCTCAGTGGGGAGCCTGCTTCTCCCTCTGCCTCTCCCTTTGCCCCTGCTCCCTTTCTCTCCCTCTCCACTCTCTCTCACATGCTCGCTTTCTTTCAAATAAATAAATAAATAAAATCTTTAAAAAAAATAAGTTTATTGTTTTGTTTGTTTATTTATTTGAGAAAGAGAGTGTGTGGGTGGGGAGGGAAGGAGGGGCAGAGGGAGAGAGAGTCTTAAGCAGATTCCCCACTGAGCACAGAGCCTGACATGAGGCTCGATCTCAGGACCCTGAGATCACAACCTGAGCCAACATCAAGAGTCGGAGGCTTAACCGACTGAGCCACCCAGGTGCCCCTAAATTTTTTCTTTTATTTCTTTCCTTTTTTTCTTTTAAGATCTTTTATTTATTTGAGAGAGAGAGCAAGCAGGGGGAGGGACTGAGGGAAAGGGAGAAGCAGCCTCCCCACTCAGGACAGAGCGTGACATGGGGCTCGATCCCAGGACCCTGGGATCATGACCTGAGCCGGAGGCAGATGCTTAATGACTGAGCCACACAGGCGCCCCTAAAAACATTTTAAATTGAGGTATAAAATACATACAATAAATGGTTAACATGCACTAATCTTTTTTAAATTTTTTATTGTTATGTTAATCACCATACATTACATCATTAGTTTTAGATGTAGTGTTCCATGATTCATTGTTTGTGCATAACACCCAGTGCTCCATGCAGAACATGCCCTTTTTAATACCCACCACCAGGCTAACCCATCCTCCCACCCCCCTCCCCTCTAGAACCCTCAGTTTGTTTTTCAGAGTCCATCGTCTCTCATGGTTCGTCTGCCCCTCCGATTTCCCCCCCTTTATTCTTCCCCTCCTACTATCTTCTTTTTTTTTTTTCTTAACATATATTGCATTATTTGTTTCAGAGGTACAGATCTGTGATTCAACAGTCTTGCACAATTAACATGCACTAATCTTAAGTGTTCAATTCAGTTAATATTCACATACGTATACACCCATGTAATTACTAACCAGATCAAGGTTCCCTTCCCAACCAATGCCATCCTCTCCCGTTGTGACTTCATATCACTGCTGATCAGCTTTGCCCACCCTTGAACTTCATACAAATGGGCTATTGTTTGCTTGTTTGTTTCTGCCTTATTTTGCTGGAGCAAAATACAACCAGGTAGCTATCCGGGGCAGCTTCACTGAGGAAACACTCCAACCCCACCCTGGTACTTATTGGGTCTGCACGTGTCTCTACTTTCTTGGCTTTTCATGGCTCTCCCCAGTTAGGAAACCCAATCCTTGAGAGCAGGCAACCATGTGGCCTCCTTTCTCTATGTGACCTTATCCCTCCTCCAGTAAAGAATATGGCAGCAGAACCCTATGACCCAGCAATTGCACTACTGGGTATTTACCCCAAAGATATAAATGTAGTGATCTGAAGGGGTACCTGCACCCCAATGTTTATAGCAGCAATGTCCACATAGCCAAACTATGGAAAGAGCCCAGATGTCTATGGGTGCCTGGGTGGCTCAGCTGGTTAAGCGACTGCCTTCGGCTCAGGTCATGATTCTGGAGTCTTGGGATCGAGTCCTGCATCGGGCTCCCTGCTCAGCGGGGAGTCTGCTTCTCCCTCTGACCCTCCCCCCTCATGCTCTCTCTCTCATTCTCTCTCAAATAAATAAAATCTTAAAAAAAAAAAAAAAGAGCCCAGATGTCCATCAACAGATGAATGGATAAAGATGTAGTATATACATACAATGGAATATTACTTAGCCATTAAAAAGAATGAAATCTTGCCATTTTGGGATGACGTGGATGGAACTAGAGGGTATTATGCTAAGCGAAATAAGTCAATCAGAGAAAGACAATTATCATATGATCTCACTGATATGCGGAATTTAAGAAACAAGGCAGAGGATCATAGGAGAAGAGAGGAAAAAATAAAACAAGATGAAACCAGAGAGGGAGACAAACCATAAGAGACTCTTAACCTTAGGAAACAAACGGAGGGTTGCCGGAGGGGAGGGGGGTGGGAGGGATGGGGTGGCTGGGTGATGGACGTTGGGGAGGGTATATGTTATAATGAGCACTAGGTATTATATAAGACTGATGAATCACAGACCTATACCCCTGAAAGAAATAATACATTATATGTTAATTAAAAAAAGAAGAAGAAGAATATGGCAGCAGAGAGAGCAGCACTGGGAAGGCCACTGATGATCAAGGATCCCAGGCCAGCCAACTCCCATGTCTGGGTTAATCCAGAACACCAGTCATCATGGTGACCCCAAAGTCTTTTTACCACTGGAGAAAATAAGTTAGACGCTGTTTGTTCTGGGAGATGAAGCCTTGGTCATATTCATACTACATCCACTAGCAGCAGGCAGCTTCCTAGGAAGCACCCAAGGGTGAGAAATCCTTTAGCTGTACTCAGAGAGGAAAAGCAAGACCTTCTTCACATCAGCCACTTACGGTGCTTTGTCTCTTCTGACTCCCCTAGCAACTAACTCCCCTCCACTCCTTCCCAGCCTCTTTTTGTGAGCAAACCAGTTTCAAATGTTTTCCAGAGCAAGAAGCTTACCTAAGCATTGCATTGGACTCTCTGACCACCTGGGCAATCTGAACCTTCTGAATCTTCTGTTGGCACAGGAGATTGTGTGCTTTGGTCCACCTAGAAACAGACACCCCACAAAAGCCCAAATTCCAATCACTAAGGAGGAAAGTGTCCTTTCCCTTTTTAGGGCCAAGTCCTCTCTGGCAAGATTAATGGAGGCCTCATCCTTTTCCACCAAACCCCTTCCTGAAGAACTCTGGCTGTCCTTAAAAGGAAGACGGTGAGAAAGCCATACCCCAGCCACAGGAACAAGAACTGGGTGAGATAACCGCTGAAGTTAAAGCTCTTCTGAATCTCTCCCTCGGTGACCCCACGTTCTGGAGAACTGGGGCTCTGTCCCCTATAGGACATGCTGGTTCCTATAGGAGAGTTAGCTCCCCAAAGCATTTATTCCCCCAAACCAAGGGGCTTCTGCCTCCTTCCAAGGATTCTCACTGGGCCCCCACTCCAGCAGCAGCCACAAGTAGCCCCTTCGTGGCTAGACAGTTGGTTCTAATAGGTGGGCCAGGGGAATTCAGTAAGGTAAGGGGGCCTGCCACCTCATTCAAGCTCAGGAAAAAAATACCCGCTCCTGGACCAGTCCATTGTGGGGGCCAGGAGCAGTTCAAAACCACCGTCACGGGACGCCTGGGTGGCTCAGTCGGTTAAGCATCTGCCTTTGGCTCAGATCGTGATCCCAGGGCCCTGGGATCGAGTCCCGCATAGGGCTCCCTGCTCCGCGGGGAGCCTGCTTCTCCCTCCGCCTCTCTCTCTCTCTCTCTCTCTCTCTCTGTGTCTCTCATGAATAAATAAATAAAATCTTTAAAAAAAAAAAAAAACCACCGTCACTTACCATTCCACCATATGAGGTAACTTCTCTCTGATGGTCCGGTGTGGGTCAATCTCAATTGGGTAATAGTGGTGAAGGAGCGCTTTGAGCTGGGACATCCAAATGAAGAGAAAAGCTGTTAGTCCGCGTCAAGTTTTCCCCAGCGAAGTCCCACAGTTTAGCGTGAGCAAATAATCACCTAGAAGATGCAACTCTGTGTTAGGGAGTGACTGACATGCAGAGCTGGTCAGCCCTTCATACGCACCCTTGGAGTGTGAGGTCTAAGAATCAATAAAGATCTTTCGCTATCAGGTCATAAGTTACTAGGATTTTGTTGTTATTCACTAGTTCAGTCAGCAGGGCTTAACCAGTAAGAAGGGATTAATGCTGTATTTCCCAAAATGAGGTACACTTTCCTCAGGGGTAGGCAAAGTAACTTTAGGGGGCACATGGATAAACACTTTTCATTTTAGTAGCTTTGGATTCATTTTAATGCATATTAAGAAAAAAAAAAAAAAACTAGGGGCACCTGGGTGGCTCAGTCGTTAAGCATCTGCCTTCGGCTCAGATCATGATCCCGGGGTCCTGGGATCAAGCCCCACATCGGGCTCCCTGCTCAGCGGGAAGCCTGCTTCTCCCTCTCCCACTCCCCCTGCTTGTGTTCCCTCTCTCGCTGTGTCTCTCTCTGTCAAATAAATAAATAAAATCTTTTAAAAAAAGAAAAAAAACTAGCACATCAAATTCATGCTTTCACAAAGATTGCTTCTTTTCTAATTGCATTCAGATTTTTTTTTAATGTTTTACTTATTTATTTGACAGAGAGAGAGAGAGAGAGAGAGTACACAAGCAGGGGGAGCGGCAGGCAGAGGGAGAGGGAGAAGCAGACTCCTCGTGGAGCAAGGAGCCCGATGCGGGACTCAATCCCAGGACCCCGGGATCATGACCTGAGCCGAAGGCAGACGCTCAATTGACTGAGCTCCCAGGCGCCCCGCATTCAGATTTTTAATAGTAACCCAACTTTAAGTAAAATATGTAGTAAAAATCACCCTAGTAGATATGGCAAAAATCATGAAAGTGGAAGTTAGAAAAATCATGGAAGTGAGTTTGGGACCCAGCATGTTAGTGGATAACCATCACAACACCAACATTGAGTAAACCACTTCACAAGCATCCGCATGTACCTCCTCCTGCTAAGATTTCCTTCCACGTCTGGGGAGACCGCTTCAGGGACCATGTGTCACACAGGGCCAGTCAGTAACAGCGCCCAATAAAAATGGGAACTGATTGGGTAAAGAATTTTAACTTTAATATATGCACAGTCTCAGAATATTATGAGATCAAATGTGGAGTCCCTGACCATGGGTCCAAAAGAGAGTCAAAGGCAAAGATCACACACTGACAAAGGGAGAAAGCTCCTGAAATGTATTAATGTGTGTTTTGTGTGGGGGGGTGTTTCTCAATGTGTGTGTTTTGGGGGGGGTGAGAACATTTTTATAAAAAGTATGAGAGAATTCAACAGAAGAATATACTTTTTTTTTAAGATTTTATTTATTTGAGAGAGAATGGGAGCGAGAGAGAGAGAGCACATGATAGGGGGGAGGGTCAGAGGGAGAAGCAGACTCCCTGCTGAGCAGGAGCCTGATGCAGAACTTATCCCAGGACTCCAGGATCATGACCTGAGCTGAAGGCAGTCACTTAACTAACTGAGCCACCCAGGCACCTCAAGAATATACTTTTTTAAAAAGATTTCATGCATAAACTTTGCTGTATTAATTTTTTTTTTTTTCGGGAGCTCATCAACACCCAGAATCTTAGTTTGCCCTAGCTTCATTATCCTAGAGCAGGCACCCAAACCTGCAGTCTTACACCTGGATGCAGCTTTCTGGAAGCTGGTAAGACAGGTATGTGAGGAACCACTAACAGTGACTTACCAAAAGCAATTAATTAGTCCTGGAGCCAGAACTTACATTAAGCTAAAAGTGCATCTCCAGAGAGACAGGTTTTAGAGATATAAGAGCTATCTATAATTTGTTGCCCATCTTTTTTTTTTTTTTTTTAAGATTTTATTTATTTATTTGACAGTGAGATAGACAGAGCACAGGTAGGCAGAGCGGCAGGCAGAGGGAGAGGGAGAAGCAGGCTCTCCACTGAGCAGGGAGCCCAATGCGGGACTCGATCCCAGGACCCCGGGATCATGACCTGAGCCGAAGGCAGCCGCTCAACCGACTGAGCCACCCAGGCACCCTAATTTGTTGCCCATCTTAATAACAAGTAACCATGACAGAGTATTGAAAGAGCTGACCAAGATGACAGACTGACAGACCGCGTAGTATGTGATTTAGTGATTTAGTGAATCTCGGCAAACTGCCGAGAAACGTGCAACCAGCAGGGCTCTCCTCTGGCAAAGAGGACGGAACGTGGAGCAAAGTAAAATGAACTCTAAGGCTGCAGGATTTATAATATTTGTATGTATCTCATGGAAATGGGCGTTATCATATATTGACATTAATTCAGAAGTCTTTCTTGATACCTGTTACCTTGCCAAAAAATTGCATATTTTTTAAAAGACTTATTTATTCATTTTGGCGGGGGGAGGTGTGCAGGGGGAGGATCAGAGGGAGAGGGAAAGAATCTCAAGCAAACTCCCTGATGAGCAAGGAGCCCCTCGCCGGGCTCAATCCCAGATCCCACCACCCTGAGCTAAAACCAAGGGTCAGATGCTCACCCCACTGAGCCACCCAGGTGCACCCCCCCCCCAAATTATATTATTAAAGAAATAGCATAATGTAATGAAAAGAGTTTGGGACAGAATCGAATCTATGGGAAAACCAAGCTCTCTGTGTCTTGCCTGTATGACCCTTGAAGGAGTTGCTTATCCTCTTCAAGTGGTTCTATCCAACCCTGGGAGTTGCTGGAGGGTTAAAGAGCAAATGTTGAAGTCTCTTGTAAACTCTATAGCTGGCAGTATGCATAACACCCATATTCTAACCACCAATCGTCACATGTCTTGAACAAAAAGGAAACACTGCCCCAGTGTGTGAGACTAGGTCCACCTGAACATAAGAACAACAATTTTTTAAAATACTAATCTTCTGAGGTCTCTATCCTGGAATCTTTGATCCTAACCAATAACTATCTGAAGTAGTCCATAATGGCCATCTCTGAACAAAGAAGGGGAGTAACCCACCTCATTCTGACACTCCTCACTGATGATCTTGCTGTTATCCAGAATGTCTGCAAAAACACAAAACTCCTCTCATTTGCCACTTAGAAGCCACCATCTTGTCAAGCGTAACAAAGCAAAGCTAGTATGTGACTTACTGTAAGAAGAAGGGCATCGCTTTCCATTATATGCAAACCTGCTCAAGGTCATGTCAAAATCAGAAATGACCTAAAAGGCAAAAGAGAGATGCTATCCATACAGGCTCCTTCCGGTGTGGCCCTGCCTGGGGGGAAGATTATGAAAGGCAAACCAGCTCAGTAGCTAGCCAGTGCAGGAGTTAGGAAAGGCCGGCGGGGGGGGGGGGGGGGGGGGGGCACGACACGGACGAAGCCTAGGTAGGAGAATCCTAGTTAGTAGAATCCTAGTTAGTAGTAGCGTGCTAAGCCTGAGGACGCCCAGCCTCTTGCGGGTAGCTGGCAGAGTGGGGACTGAAGAATCAGGACCCCCTTTGACTCTTAGCCTTGCCATCTCATTGCCTTGGGTCCCTTCCAAGGTGACCCATGTCCACATCTGCAACTTCCTGGGGAGCCCGCTGACCGGGCTAGTGTGGAAACAAGGCCCCAGGGCCTGGTGCTTTCTACCTAGTAAGAGGAAGCAGCAGCTGGTCATGACTGACAAATTTGAAATGTAGGTTTTCCGGCAGGTGGGCTCTAACCCAGGGCAATCAGGCGGAGCAACCTGCTTGCCCTCAGGCCGCTGGCCATTTCTAGGGGCTCAGGGCCGGCAGCGTCCGCGGCAGCGCGGGCAGGCCCCTTGGGCGGGTCACCTCCCCAGCCGCCCCACCTCGCCCCGGCCGTACCTGCAAGCGGTCTCCCCCGCCCCGGCGGAGGGCGCCCACGATCTCCTGCACCCGCCCGGGCTGCCGCATCAGGACCGTGGCCTTCATCAGGGTGCTCACCTGTCCCGAGACCCGAGAGAAGCGCTGACCCCGGCGCCGCGCTGGGCTCAGCGGGAGCCCGGGGCCGGCTCCGCAGCCCTGCGAGGCCGGGCCGGGGCGCGCGGGGCGCGCAGGGGGGCGCTCCGGGCCAGCCCGGGGCGCCTACTGGCCGGGGTGGCGCGGCGGGGCCCAGGTGGCCCGCTGGGGGCCTCGGAGCGCCCCGGGGGTCGGGGCCCGCCCCACGTCGGACGCTTCCTCCCGCCTCACCTCCTCCGCCATGGCGCTCGCGGCCGGGACGACGGCGCCGGGACAACGACCTCCCCGCGGCCGCACTGCGCAGGCGTCGCCCGCAGCCAGGGGGCCGGGTGGACCGCGGGCCCGGGGACCGGGCGGCGGGCGGGGCCGGGAGAGGGCGGCGCCCGCGCTGGGCAAGACCCCGGTTGCGGGCTCTGTGTTGAGGAGGGTGAGGGTCCCAAGAGTTGGGGTTACCGGGTGCCACCGTCGAGAGCAAAAGCCCTGGCCAGAGGGGTCATTTCCAGACGTCAAGTTAGCATGACAAAAAAAGCCGCAGGAAGGGAAGGGATATGGAAAACATCCAGAAGGGGCTTAACTGGGCCCACTCCTCATCACAGAAGAAAATGAGCGACTAACACAAGTCCGCAGGGCAGGAAAGCCCTGGACAGCTGGGCCAGCGTGAACTCTAATCGGCTTTCCTTCCTTCTGCCTTCTCTGACTTGGTTTCCTTGAATTCAGTGTCTGGGGAGCCAAGTGCCCAGCAGTGGAAGAAGGTGGATGATGCTACACGGATACAGAACTGGGCAAATTAAGTGGGCAACAAAAGCTAGAATGGATAAAAACTCTTATATGGTGTTGGTGGTCACAGTCCTGCTCCAGATTCAAGGGCTTGGAAGGTGTGGGGAGGTCTTCAGCCTGAATGGTGGGGGAGGGGAGAAGGAAGGACGACGGGGACAGGAGAGAGTTCCAGAACCTGAGAGCACAATCCGGAGAGTGATCTCACTGCGGGCCCAGGATTCTGGAACTTGAGCTGCCTGAAGGGCCCTATATGAAAGATGTAGTAGGGAAAAGGAGCGACAGCAGGCTAAAGGGGCCCCCCACAACCCTCCCCGACACCCTAGGAGAGCAGCCTCTCTCCGCTGGTCCCAGGGTGCCATGGAGATGGAGAACGCGGCGGCCTCCACACGTTTCCACCAGCCTCACATGGAGAGGAAGATGAGTGCGATGACCTGTGAGATCTTCAACGAGCTTAGGCTAGAGGGCAAGCTCTGCGACGTGGTCATCAAGGTCAATGGCTTTGAGTTCAATGCCCACAAGAACATCCTCTGTAGCTGCAGTTCCTACTTTAGGTATAACAGGGTTGCCAAACTAAGCCAAAGGGGGACTTGGGCTCATTCTGAGACATTTTGGTTCATTTCATGTTTCCCACCCCATCATCGTAAGTTAGGGACACTGTCAAATCTGTGGGCTCCTCTAGCCTGGCTCCTTTGTCTTCTGAAGAGGCACAACTAGGGCCGGAGCCGCCTCTCTGCTTTTCCACTGGATTTCAACCAACTGTTGGTGGGCCAGGTGCTTTTCTCCTTTGATTCTCACCCAAACCAACCTTCAGGAAGGTTGGACACCCATACTGGATTTCCTACTTAAACCTAGATGACAGTGCCACCTCAGCTGCCCCTTGTGCCCCTATCCCAGTAGAGACTATCTCAAACAGGGTGATGAATTAACAAGGATTGAGCAGGTGGGAAGGAGGATGCGGGAAAGCACCAAGAAAGTGTTTATCAGAAGATAAAGGGAGTTTGGGTCACAACCACTGTGACCCAGGGAGTGGCAGAGCTATTTTGTTCATGAGCTGAAAATATTTGAGTTATCAGTTCCAACAAACATATGATACATGTGTCCCATCTGTTGCTAAAAATTTTCATTCATCTAGACCTGCAACAGGGTCTACAAAAAGACCAAAAGACCAGATAGTGAATATTTTAAGCCTTGCAGGCCATACAGCCTCTGCCACAATGACTGCACGCTGCCTGTTTTATAGTGGGAAAGCAGCTGTAGACAATACTAAATGAGAGGGCATGGCTGTGTTCCAATAAAATAATTCATGGATGCTGAAATTTGAATTATAATCCAGGTGTCACAAAATCTATTTTCCCCCCACTTTTAAAAATGTAAAAAACAGGGGCGTCTGGGCGGCTCAGTCAGTTAAGCGGTTAAACTCTTGATTTCAGCTCAGGTCATGACCTCAGGGTCGTGAGATGGAGCCCTGCCTTGGGCTCCACGCTAGGCGTGGAGCCTACTTAAGATTCTCTCCCTCTCCCTCTGTTCCCCGCCTCCCCACTCTCTCGCTCTAAAAAAAAAAAAAAAAAAGTAAAAACATTTTTAGCTTGTAGGTGGCACAAAAACAACAGGTGGGCCAAATCTGGCCCAGAGGCTGTAGGCTTGCAGACCCCTGCTCTAGAGAAGAATCTGATTTCCAAGCCCATATTCCCTTAAACCATCTAGAAAAAGGAAGCAAAAATTTGTTAGGGCAGGTTCTTCTGTCTTTTTCAACACCTAAAAAAGTACCTAGGTATACAGTGGGAGCCCAATAAATAGTTCTGGAATAGTACACTGTCAGTAATTATTTATTGAGTGCCTATTTTGTGACAGGCACTATCCGAGGTACTAGAAATAAAACAATGAGTAAAAAAAACATTTATGGGCGCCTGGGTGGCTCAGTTGGTTAAGCGACTGCCTTCGGCTCAGGTCATGATCCTGGAGTCCCGGGATCGAGTCCCACATCAGGCTCCCTGCTCGGCAGGGAGTCTGCTTCTCCCTCTGACCCTCCTCCCTCTCATGCTCTCTGTCTCTCATTCTCTCTCTTGCAAATAAATAAAATCTTAAAAAAAAAAAATTAAAAAAAAAAAGATAAACATTTGTGTTCTCATGAAGTTTACCTTCTAGTAGGAGGAATAGGTATTCAATAAATAAAAACATAGCAGATCATAAGTGCTGGGGGGCAGGGAAGGAAGGTAGGGAGATTTTATTTATTTATTTTTAAAGATTTTATTTATTTATGAGAGAGAGCGAGCATGCACAAGCGGTGGGAAGAGGCAGAGGGAGAAGCAGACTCCCAGCTGAGCAGGGAGCCTGATTCGGGACTCAATCCTAGGACGCTGGGACCATGACCTGAGCCAAAGGCAGACGCTTAACCAACTGAGCCACCCAGGCACCCCGGGTAGAGAGATTTTAAACAGGAAGGTGGCAATTTTAAATAAGATGGTTTGCTGACAAAAGTGACATCTGAGCAAAGACTTTAAGGGGGAGGTGGGAGTGAGAAATATGGAGATCTGCAGCGGGGAGCCTTCCAGGCAGAGGCAACAGCATGTACAAAGGACCAAAAATGAAGCACCTCTGGTGTATTCAAGGAAAGCAAGGCTGGTGGGACTGGAACAGAATGAGGGGGATGATTGGAGGAAGTGGCCAGAGAGGTATTACTGGTCCAGACCTCAGAGGACTTTGTACTCCCTGGTAAGCACCTTATATTTTACTCTGAGCAAGAAGGGATGTCAGTGGAAGGTTTTGAGTGGAAGGGGTACGTAAACTCATAAATAAGGTGGTTGGGGTATGACTGTAAACTCTGGCAGTATCAAGGGCAGAAGCAGGGGCATCAGAAGGTTACTCCCAATCATCTAGGCTGGAGATGGTGGTGGCTTGGACTAAAGAGGTAGCAGTAAGAGGTGAGGAGTGATCAGATTCTGGGTGTGCGTTGACTGAACGGTACTTATTTAAAAAAGCGTATTGCTCAAGTTTAACTTCCTTAAGTAAGGTTGAGATAGAAGAGACCTAGGTCTTACTCCTGGCTCTAGATCCCAATTTTTCCACCCACCAAACAGGGAAAAGTTCTAGTTATCATGAGGATAAGAAAAAGAGTGACCAAAGTCAAAGTTCTTGGCAAGGTTCTCTTGCCCACTGTATAAAGCACATAGTCTACCCTCCCCCTCCCCTTCCCCATGCCAATTTATTTCCAGCATACTCACCGTGCACTATTTGGGAAATGTCCAGACTCTCCTTGACAAAAGAAGGTCGGGGGGAGAACCTGGTAAACTGGAGAGAAATGTTTCAGTGGCTGCTAGTTTCTTTCTTTCTTCCAGAGCTTTGTTTACCAGTGGCTGGAACAACACTGAAAAGAAGGTATACAACATTCCTGGCATTTCCCCTGACATGATGAAGCTAATTATTGAATATGCATACACCCGGACCGTCCCTATCACACCGGACAATGTGGAGAAGCTGCTGGCTGCTGCAGACCAATTCAACATCATGGGTATTGTCAGGGGTTGCTGTGAGTTCCTCAAGTCGGAGCTGTGTTTGGATAATTGTATCGGCATCTGCAAGTTCACGGACTACTACTACTGTCCCAAGCTGAGGCAGAAGGCCTACATGTTCATACTGCACAACTTTGAGGAGATGGTGAAAGTCTCGGCTGAGTTTTTAGAGCTATCAGTCACTGAACTGAAGGATATCATTGAGAAAGATGAGCTCAACGTCAAACAAGAAGATGCTGTATTTGAGGCCATTTTAAAATGGATTTCTCATGACCCCCAAAATAGGAAGCAGCATATTTCAGTTTTGCTTCCCAAGGTCAAGTTTAGTTATTTTTTGTGGGATGCTTAATTGCTCATGTTCGGTTCACTTACCCCGGAGGGACTGTGCGAAGAGCCATATTCAGATGTTTGGCAGCTTCTGGGGCTGTATTTACATACACTTATATAGAAGGCATCTCCTAATCTTTGGAATTTTGCAGTTTTTCTTTCTTGACATTGCTAGTCCCTTCTACCCCACTTACATTCTTTGACCAAAATTCTCCCTGGCAGTGGGGGAAGGAGATGGCAAGGCCTTCAAAAGAATTTTAAACGGCCCTCCTTTCAACCATTTTTATTCTGTGAGTTTCCCCAAATCCCAGGTAGAAGTGGGATAGAACACCAAACAGTACTATACACAATTACAGCCATTTGGCGCTAATCTGTGTTATTTTATACAGAGAAACATAGATGTTCAATGACTGAACAATCACCCCAGCCTTCTCTGGTCTAACAATACTGCCCAGTGGCCAAGGAAGAGGCTAGCTCTGTGATCATTTGAGGTGCCTTTTTTCAAGCTCATTCTCAGCATCCAAATGTATACCACCTCCAGAAAACAAGTGTTTAAACTGTGAGCTGTAAATCTCAAACACAAAATATGATCCTGCTGCCATTCAAAGTCAGACTGTAAACGGGGACTTGTGGATATGGGTTTTCCAGGTACCCTCACCTCATCTGACTTTCTGTCTTTCTTTCTTAGGTTCGCCTGGCCCTAATGCATGCTGAGTACTTCATGAACAACGTG